AACAGTAGAGCTGTCTTGACATTTGTATTGAAAATCCTGACTTTAATGTTGGTTGATAGATGTTTTGAGTTCCAGATATTCATCAATTGTAGAAGTGCTGTTATTGCCTCGCCAATCCACGCCTTCACATCTGCGTCAGATCAACCCTGCTCATAAATGATGATGCCCAGATATGCAAAGGTTTTTATTCCCTCCAATGCTTCTCCGCCAAGTGTATCTTGGTTGGTGCATGTTGAGCTATATAGAAGAATCTTGCTTTCTCCTTTGTGTATGTTGAGACCTACTACTGCTAGACTGGTCGTCTAATCCTACACTTGTTGCTGTGTGTGGGATATAAGGGCTAGATCATTTAATAAGTTCAAATCGCACAGATGCATTCCAGCTGTCCACTGCACTCCCTGTTTCCCCTGAGATGTTGACGCCTTCATAATCCAGCAGGACACCTTGTCCAACTCCGGTCTTCATTTCGAACGATTCTGTGTGCTGTCCTTAGTGCACAACCTTACTGTTCAATGCATCAATAGAATCCCGTAAAATGTGGACTATTTTCTCAGGAACACCGCTCTGTTAAAGATACTTCCATAGTTTCATCCTGTCCACGCTGCGCAATGGTGAATTCCTTCTGCGTTGCATAATATAGCAGTCTCATGTTTCCTCCTCTTGCAGCTTTTCGGCCACCACTGCAAGATATCCAACGTATTCTCACTAATCAGCGCTGACGCTCCTGCCTCAAAAGTCCTTCCACTTGCTATACCCACCCGTTTCGCTGTTCCTCAATGTTCCTGATTACTTGTTTACTTCTGTATATTCAGCTTTTTCTGTAGCTTTCTGTGCTCTGGTTCGGCTGATATTGATTGCAGCCTTGCAGTTCTTCCTTTCGTGAATATTATCCAGATTATACACTGAGGTTCATTACTTTTGGTGGTGCTTCTTGCGGCCCCAGAACCTCGTGAAATGTTGAATTGATTGCTTAATTGATGCTTTTCTAGTTGTTATGCTTGATAATTTCCTCTACATTAAATAGATTGTGAAAGGGTTGAAACAAACTGTTGAGAGCTATCCTGAATTAGTTGAGTTTGCCGCTATCCAAAAAAAGGCCAGCCGTTCGACCAGTTTTCCAATGCTTCATCAGTCTCAGTTTAATCTTGTCCACTACCCAGTAATAGTCTGAAGCAAAGTCAAATCTACTTTTCGTTCTCACGTACTACATGGTCCTTCTAAACATTATATTGATGAATATGTGGTGGATTTGGTAGTGTTTAGTTTGATCCGGTGAAACTCATGTAGCTTTGTGTATGTGTTTCTTGAGTGAATATGATGCCACTTAATACCATTTTTCTGAAGACACTTAGATTTGAAAATCTCTCACCGTTCACATTCCATTCTCCTAGTCCATGTGGTCCCATGATGTCTTCATATAGAGCGTTGTCCATGCCAACATTGGCATTTATGTCTCTCATCAGAATGGTCCAGTCTGTGTTAGGCATTTCTTGCGGACTGACCGTAGCTTCACACAGAAGTGATCCTTAAGATCCTCATTTTTATCACTGATAGGCTCATAGCGCATAATGATAGTCATTGCAATCCCATCTCTGTGTGTTTTAAAGGATGCTTTGATGATGCTAAGCTTATGAAATTCTCATCGTATGAGCCCATTTTGTGCTTTTATGGACAGCATCAGTGCAACCCTTTTGTGCGAGTCATTTTCCTTTTCGTGGTAGGAGTATAACAGCAGCTCCCTGGAGCCATTAATTTTTTTGAACCTGCGTCCAATGCATTTCACTGATTCCAAGTACAACAAGGTTGTAATTTTTCACTTTTGCAGTCACGTGGATGACTTTCCAGGTCTTCTAGATTGTAAGAAGATCCCATATACCTACTAATGGTTGCTTTATATGTGTGAATGGGCATCGGCCTCATAACCTGCTGATTTTCTACGGGATGCAACCGCTTACCGCATGATCGAGCCACCTCCTTTATCCGGGATTTGAACCGACAGAAGCCCCAGAAGAGCTTCGAATGGAGTTGTTGAACAACATACTGAGACAAAAATATGCTAGTTTGCACATTATCCCTTGACCTTAGAAAAGTATTGTGATCGACTGGATTATGAAGACCTCAGCATCTGGAGGGAAGCACGGTATCCAATGGACAGCTAGGACGCAGTTGGACGATCTGGAATTCGCAGATGATCTGGCTCTTCTATCTCACGTGCAACAACAAATGCAAGAGAAGACGACCAGTGTAGCAGCAGCCTCTGCAGCAGTAGGTCTCAACATATATAAAGGAAAAAGCTAAATTGACCGACGCAACACAACATGCACCAACCAAATCATTCTTGATGGAGATGCCTTGGAGGACGTTAACACCTTTACCTATCTGGGCAGCATCATCGACAACCAAGGTGGATCCCATGCAGATGTGAGGGCGCGGATCGACAAAGCAAGGGCTGCATTTCCACAGTTGAGAAACATCTGGAACTCCAAACAACTTTCAACCAAAACAAAATCCGAATTTTTAATACAAATATAAAAACAGTCCAGAAGATACAAGTGTTAATTAACACTTGTCTACACAAAAAACTTCGGATTCGTTGGCCAGACACCATAAGCAACAACGTACTGTGGGAGAGAACAAACCAGATTCCAGTGGAGTAGGAAATCAGGAAGAAGCGGTGGAAGTGGATAGGACACACACTACGAAAAGCACCTAACTGCGTCACAAGACAAGCCTTAAAATGGAACCCTCAAGGTGAAAGGAAAAGAGGAAGGTCAAGGAACACATTACGCCGAGAAATAGAGAAAGATATGAAAGGAATGAATGAACATTGGACAGAACTGGAGAGGGAAGCGCAGGACAGAGTTGGTTGGAGAAAACTGGTGGGCGGCCTATGTTCCATTGAGGGTAACAGTCTTTTGTAAGTAAGTAAGTTAGTTAGTTAGAAAAGCCTTCGACAAAGTACCCCACGAGCTCCTAATAGAGGTTTCAAAAACGAGCATCTCTGATTCACTTCTATCTTGGCTAAGTGACAACCTACTGAAAAGTTTGTTTCCTACCGAAATTAATCGGAAGCTCGCGTGCTAGTTGTAGAATCCTTTTTGGATGTTTTGTTTTTTGGAAAATCCCTCCATGTTTACGTATTTTTGCTATGACATGACGGACTTTTTCTATTGACATTTTTGGTATTTTATTTTATTCCAATTTGAGATTTTATCATTGTATTTTGTTATTCTTTCTATATTTTGTACTTATATTGAAGTTTTTGTGTTTGCTTCTGAACTGTACATATGTTGTTTAAATTTGATATAATATGGCTACCGCCACATTTTTGGATTCATCATCGGGCAGTACAGGAGTTCACCTAAACCTCGGAACATTGATACTCGTTTGGAGTAATTCTGAATTGGAAGACGTAACACTAGCTAGGTATTATTTGTATTTCCATTTGTAATTTGTAAATAGACCATTTCCCTCTAGAATTATTGTTTTTTAACTTCGAAATTGGGAAGTGCGTCCAACCTACGTCTATCGGAATCGAATTGAGCTGTCACGATGAAGAAATCACCTACACTAGTGAGTCTCATTATCAGGAGTTTCACAGGGAACCCCACCTTAGATCCACTCCTCTCCTTGCTATTCATTAACCATTTGTCAAGCAATATTAGATCAGCATTCCCAATCCGCGCAGACAACGCAGAAGTCTGTTGGTCCATAAGAAGCAAAGAGGGTTCATTAGTGCCTCAAGAATATCTCCCAACAAAGAGAAGGGAAGTAAGAAACTGAGTAAAATGTAACCAGTCGAAACGTCATGTCATGAACATTCTAACCCATGCAACACAAACAGCTTGCCTCTTCAACAGGAGTTTTCTCCTTAATGTCTCGTTTGACTGCGATTTCGATCTAATAACCACAGAAAGCCTAAGCATTACTTTGAAACTACAAAGGGGATGCAAACAAGGGTAACGCAGCTCTTCATTGCGTGCAAAAAAAACTTGGTGTAATCACTGCAGAATCGTTCTTAACCTCCTTTCAAGCATACGTAAAGCCACAGCTTGAAGTTCAAAAGGATGTCACACCCCTTCTCCTTGACAGCGAAAAATCTCATAGACTGAGTGCAGAGACGATCAGCTAAATGGGTGAATGGGTTAAAGAATAAGCCTTACGAAAACATACTCCAACACTTGGTATTATCCCCCCTGATTTATAGGAAAAAGAGGTTACCTGTTAATGGCATACAACATATCAAGTGCGCTGAATCATCTTAACACGTGCATCCTAATGAAAAATCATAACCGCATTCCTTGAGGTAACCCGCGAAAAATTCCACATTTCTCATTAAGAGTTGTTCCGACTTTAAATGAACTCCCAAACAAAGTAACCACAGGCCCCTCACTGGATAGCATCAAGATGGGATTTATTAAACTCGTACTCACATGCAGATTATCACCTCCCAGCTGAGCCAGCTGTGCCTGATGTATGTCTTGGAACTTGCTAATTGTTTTCATAGTCATTTCCTCAGTTCACTAACTTATTCTACCTTGCTTATTATATGTTTCCTCTTGTCTGCTTACATATCTCTCCTCTCACACACTTCACTGCCAGTAACTCAAATTATTCATTTATTTATTGAGTTCTGAAATTTTCCAATCAAACGCACGCACCTAAATCATAGAAATTACAAATTTATAAACAACTGCCCAGTGACTAGGATAAGGAAGTCTAGCGGCTAGATTACAATCCACTGGACACTACCAAATATCTCAAACCGTGACGAAAGAACAAGGAAAGAGCGCAAAGAAATCAGCCGGTTCATGCTAGCTTATGCAAGAGGTATCTCATGTTGGAACCCTCCTGCCTGGAATCCGATGACATTTCATGGTCCTGGAGGGGTGATACCTCACACACCTGAATAAATAAATAAAAAGCGCTCAAAAATTTTGCGTTAACCATTTCAGCACAAAATTCACGGAGATAAGTATTTAGAGTATTGATTATTGTTGAACGTTTTCTTGGAACCTATATATGACTCCTGACCTTTCTTTTCAGGGTCACAGCGCCGAAAACAAGGCTCTCCAAGGGATGGACTATTATACACAAGAAGTTCCCAGTTCTTCGTCAAAACCAGAGTTTATTCGGATTTGCGAATTGGTTAGTGTTATTTTTGAGCTTTCACGTAGGAAACTAGAAGATACAACACTTGTATGATGTATTAACTCCTCATGCAGTCAGTAGATGGTGCTTTACTGTCTTTCTGGTCTTCTTCTACATATTACGTATTATCATCACACAGGTTTTATAATACTCTAATTTTTATTTCCCTTCGTTCAGGGTTTCCATGTAGTTACCTATGTAATGGGGATATTTCTTTTGAACAGATTAATTGACTTCCTTTCTCCGAAAATTGTACCTGAAACATCCACAGGTATCTGCGTGTTTTCTAACCTATTTTCTTAGATGAAGTACTCCCAACCAAGTCCTCAGAAGAATTTCGACCTTTTTTAAGGCGATTACCTGAATTAAAGTTTTGGTATGGTAATTTTTTCACTGATTATATTTTGACAGGAATTCATGTACTATATGTTTATTCATATCTATAATCTGTACATATTTGAGCTTTCTCGACATACCCGTGTTTTGGCCAATACTAGTGATGTATTTCTTTATGCTTTTTTACGTGACTATGAAGCGTCAAATATCGGTATGTTCATTTATCCTCAACTACAATACGTATGAAACCTATTTTTTATGTTAAAAACTCAAGAATATTTGGCAATTATACTATCATTAAACTTTTTGCTGACAATTAGTATTGTCTCAACTGAAACCTCATCGAGATACTGTGATTCGTAAAGTAATTCAAGTTCAGTCTGAGTGAATATCTAGTTTAAATGTAGGAAGCAAGTTGTCGATAATTCAACACAGTGCTTGTAAATCAAATAAACCTTGGTAGACACGTAACTGGCAAGAATTCTTTACAACTACAGAAGGCTTTTCAATCATTCGTTCCTTCCGTTTCCACTTAACTTCTGTACTAAACCATCAGTCACATGTCCAGGTAAGATTTTACAAAAGCACTCACCTGATCAAACCTTGACAAGTAAAGTTAAATTTAAAACGACCCACACCTACTCAATTGAGCTTATAAAGTACTGAACTAATAGTCATCAGAGCACGAACAACTTGTAACAAAAGTACCGAATAGTCATTAGTACAGTTCTGTGTAGCTTATCAGGAAAAACAAGTCTAGTCGGTATTTATGCATCTTCTATCGTTAAGAGAGTCGGTTTTTATCACACTTCGCAATTTACCTGAAATTCGTGAAAGTAGAAATAGGTTCAGTGGAACCTAATTATTCATTTTCGAAATAATTTGTGCTTCCTACCTTTAAAATCTTTTCTAACTCTGCACTCACTAGCATATGATCAAATATCGTTATTTGCCATTCACTTATGGGAAACCACGTCATCAGTCCAATGGAATGAGATTTTGAAATGGATCCAACTTATACATATTTACAAAATATAAAAGAAATTGAAAAATGTCATGATATATATCATTTAAAATTACTTAGTACTTATTTTTATGTACTGCCTTTTGTATTTTTTGAAATGAGTCCTACTCATTCCTTTGAGTATAAATTGTGCAGTTTCTCACTTAACATATGTACTGAATTTATTCTGAAGAACTGATGTAAAAGAGTAATGTAGTTGACTTTAATCATCCTTCTTCAATTTGTATGTCTTTCCCTATTATTTGTTGCTAATCTCTCCTGTATTTCCACTGCTTTTAACAAAAATTTGAAATACCCAATCAGTTGAATTTTGTTTTGTCTTTTACACGGTCGCCCCATATTTCTTCGGTTCCGAATCATATATTCATGTGTTATCATAAATATGCACAGTTTAGTTCTTCACTTCCGCTTCTCAGCGCACCGATATTGATGGGGTGTCTTGTCTTCAAAATAGTTTGCTAGTTAAGTGTCAAATCTATGCATATGTCGCCACGTACACTATGAATGTTATGCCAATATACCTTGATTACCACATATGCATGATGTTTTGGATAAGTTGTTTATGTATAAAGTCATCATTTGACTTCTATGGTTTTGATCAAAACAAACTTATCAAATGTACACTATGATTATCTTCATGAAAGTAAATTTTCATGTCCTACTAACCTGGAAGGTTTAACTAATCAATACTAACAAGTTTTACTTTATAAAGATGTTTCATCTAACGTATGTAAAAATAATTTAATGTTCATTTTCTATTATTATAAAACCAACTAGTCCCCAAGAACCACTTCATGGGCTTATTAGCTATAGATCCGTTGTTTGGTAATTAGATACACCTGTTAGAAATATTTGTTTTTCTGGAGATTTATATCGCTTACCTTAAAATAAGTTATTCACTGATATTTTTGAGCTGCATAGCAACAGTATCTGATTACCAGCCTACAGCCCAGAGTGAATATGCATTAGGCCAACTTGTCATAGCACACAAACATGAACATACAGATAACAGGAGTCGAGATAATCGTAGTAGCCTGCTTCGGTTTGGGCATCCGGGCAGTATACCAGCTTCAGCTCAAATTCAATGATTTGTGTGGCGCATATATATTTTTTTGCCAAGGTTTATGCATTTAAATAAATAATCAGCTATAATAGTGGATAAAATTAAACATCGGAAAGAAGTAAATGTATAGAGGAACATTAAGACTAACGCTTTTGGAGTAAATGAATAGTGAATATATCTTCTCCACTGAAACAGAAACTATTGGTTACAAAGATTCTAACAAGGCTGTTATTGTCTACCAAGATGACTATGTCTGACAGTCAGTGATTTCAAAAATTGTTACGTCTTGCATTAGTCGCTCTCAGAGTACTCAATCTACCATCACATGCTGAAGCTAACGTTGTTTGAGCATATGCAATATAATTCCTAGCCACTTCTGCCTAGTAAACTACTTCCGACTTGAGCGTTGTTCATTCGGTTGTTCGATGATACATAAGCAATCGTTCGAAGACACGTGATCGCAATCCAGCAGCGAATGTATATCTGCTTTTACGACTCATATTTAACACGTTTGGGTGAACACAGAACGAACTACTCGGTGTATTCGAATCTTGACCGGCAGACGTATATTTTACCTGCACCACAGGTTGGCAAGAGCCAAGCGAGCTCTCTAAATCCTTCTCGATATTTCATCAAATGTGACATCCGAGACAAGTGGAGTGGTTAATGCACCATTTATGATTAATCTAAGCGACAACAAGTAATGAATAGCATTTCGCATATAAAGATAGAAACGTCTTAAACACCCTTTTTGCAGGTGGAGCGGTATCTTTCTTCAGAACCTCTTCAACAATGGTTCTTGGTGATGTGATTTCTTTGAGTTCATCGATGTTGGTGTGATCGTGTTAAGTAATGTCGCTTCGTATGCTTAAAGTTGATAATCGTTAAGAGCAGCTGATTGTTCTGGTATGATTGGAAGAGACAGTTATCATTATGTTTGAGGGCTTGGACCCCAAAGGGTAAACCTTGGCTTAGCCTACTTTACCCTTAGAATCATCTGTGGTTGCTACATCTGAGCCCCCAACTTTCTAAGGGAAGCTTCCTGTATAACTCATCTTTCACCTCCTTGGAACCGCATTCAGTGGGACCGTAGGCATAAACAACAGCATGTCCATATCTTTCCAAGTTCTTGCAGTATCATTTAATTGAACAGTCTGTAAGCGATTTTTAACAGCAATCTATCGTATGAGTACCTGTTCTACTTCCAAACAGTTCTACAATTATATCCGCGGACGATCAGAAATCGCTACAGATACACTAACAGTAAGTCGTCTTGTCTCTCCATACTAGCTAAGTGAGGCCAAGTAAATGACCACCCTAGGATGTTGTAGATATGTTTTGGAAGCAGCACATCGATCCCACGAGATTCTATAGTCTTAGTGAGCTTTGTTACCTACTTCAACACAGATTCTGGACATTGGAATTTCCGACATGTGGTTTTAAGTTTGGTTGCATGCAACCTAGTATAACATTTTGTGAACTCGAGTGGTTACCACTGATGGTATTTATGAAAGAATTAAAGACAAAAGGTGAAATTTCGTGGCGGAAATAAAGTGTTAGTGATTGTGAATGTGATGATCTCGTGTGCTGTTAGAAGTATGTGTTGTCAGTTCCTAGCCTTCCAAACTATATAAAAATACTTCTTCTTGAGAGTCACGGGAAAAGGGACTGGGTTTGTGGGCTTGTTGACCTGAGGATTACCACAGTCCAAGAGATTACTATTTGATCACCAGCATCGGAAATCAACGAGAAGGGTGAGGTCTTTTCTAACCCGCTCCTTCTGTCGTAGGGACGTAGCATGTCCAGAGATCCTGTTTGTCTGAAAGAAACACCTTACCGTCGAATTTCAGTACAGTCAATAGTGCAACTTTGCTCCTGGGCGTCATGTAATTGATTCCCTTAACGAATTTCAGTAACGCGAGAACAGCAATTGAAACTTAATAACGGAAACTCATTATATTAATGGTTACTCATCAGCCACTTACAAGTACATAGGTAACATTGAAGTATTATATAATATGAAGCAACTGAGATTGATGACAGAACGAATTAGAGTAACAGATTAACAATGATGATCAAATGTTGTCTGCGCGTCAACAAGAATGATATAATTTGAAGATGGGGTTCAGACTAACTAAATGAAGTCCGGAAACAAAGATGGATCGTATGTTAGTTATAGGAGTTATGAAAAGTTTAAGACCAGTCGGAACTAGATATAGAACGTTGAGAGCAATCAGATGGTATTTATCTGTAATTAGCGAATGAAAGGTTACGTAATAAGTCAACAATATATGAAGAGGTTCACATAAGTTTAGGGAAATGAGTAGGAGGGTTATTTTCTCGTACATAAAATGAGAATTAGTTTAGAGAAAATCACATGACAAAAAACCTAATAACAGAAAAATTACCAAGTTAGTGATAAGTTGATTACTTCTCTTTCCGGACACAAATTAGGCCTAAGTTTTTCAATTGCTACTGCTTCGAAAGAACGCCACCTTTTGTCTTGATAATTTTGAAAGACTGGGTGATATCCGCTTTCAATCTCACCCCCTTCCAACTATTTAGAAAACAAAGCCTAGCCTACGTTTTCGAAGGAAATATCACCACATTCAGTTGTTTTCCGTGATTACTACTTACGTTTAAGTAATTATAGAATGAAACGAGTTTTCTACCTTAAAGTATTCAAACTATTGAGTGCATAACAGAATATATCAGAACACAACAGAATAATAAATCAAGATAATTAATAGTTGAATTTATGACCATTCGACTGGATGCTAAGGTGAACAAGCATCATATTTTAGTTAATGGATAGTGTTACTCTTAGTCTCATTAAAACCTTTTAGTGGTGACCGAGTCGAGATTGACTATGATCACCACTAAATACTAATTACCACTTCGTCATATTAAATACAAATAAATCCAGGGTAAAGAATATATTTGAAGGAGAATATGGGCGATACAATGAGCAGCAACTTATGAAGGATGGCAGCAACGCGAAAAAAACGTTGCGCGTAAGTAAGTGTTTTTAGTACAGCTAAACAAAACGAGTACAATTTCAAATGTTTTCTTTTCATTGATTGCGTTTCCTTCGTAGACGTGTTCCACTACAACCTCAACCAATCAAAACATCTGCTGCATGTACGGAACCTCTTTCCACTTTAAATTTGCTATGCTATCTGAACTCAACTTAATACGGTAAAAACTTAACTGTAGTCAGATTGTTATACCACAAACCTGTTGATGTCCATGATGGATAGCATCTACAGTGAAAAAAACGATTGGATTCCTAACAAAGAATTAAAGGGCTCCTGTGGTATGGCTTTTAAAAATCTAAAATAAATTAAGTAGCTTATTAATAAGACAACAAAGGAAAACTATTTAGAAAATTTGCACAAATCAAGCTGGACATTGCTTTTTAATCTTTTTATCCATCTTTCGATAGATTTAACTAGTCCACTACTACGAAAATTCTATCAATATAACTGGGAGTTTTTCTTGGATACTCTGAAGGATGTGAATAAAGCAGATATTCCAGAATCCACTTATGCTGTGTTACGTTACCTCCTTTTTAGAACTAGATGAATTATCACAAGTATAAGTTCTGATCTCAAGCACTGTCGATATACCTTATTTCAAAGAAACAGATCAATTGATAGACTGATATAAAAGTAATCAAACATGTTAGTTAATCTTTTAATCATCGCTAAAACAGTGATTGACGAAATGTGCGATGGTTTTCGAAGGAAGGATTTTCGTTTCATGAAAAGTTGTTGAAGAATTACTTCGTAGGAAATAACTGTGCACTCGATTGAGCAGCTCTGAATTTTATACCCCACAACATGAAACATATTGTAAACTTTATTGCTGTAAATATTAGTAACAGAAATTAATTAGTTTCTAAAGTCAAAAATACAGATGCCACTAAATATCGTGTAAGTGGGTCGTGTTATTGAAATAATCCTAATAGCTCAGAATCTGCTCTAAAATAACTACTTCATTCTAAAGATTCCCAACTACTTCTTATTCCTCAGGCAATTTCGTAGTGATTTACAACATAACATATGTTCCCTTATCGATTCAAACTGTTAGTACTTATAAATTTCCTATGTTCAACTGTTTTCTTGATTAACAAAGGTTGAGAATCCAATTCTTTGTGCTGGCAAATTTTTG